ATCCTGTCTCTGAAGTGAAGAGCTGCTAAAAAAATCAGAGAAAAATAGAACATTTCCCAGTAATTCTAAATTTTCTAAGCTAATCCACTTAACATGTTGGGAAATCTTTGACTTTTATTGCAAAAGTTTTGATGTGGCTTATTAAGTAAAACAGCATCTTTTCTGAAAAGTGCACAATTACAGAAAACTATAACCCAGGACAGCTTTAAATGTGTAAAATTAAAAGTGGGAAAGGGGGCCGAGCCCGTGGCGCACTTGGGAGAGTGTGGCGCTGGGAGCGCAGTGGCGCTCCCACTGCGGGTTCGGATCCTATATAGGGATGACAGGTGCGGTCACAGCACTCACTGGCTGAGCGCGGTGCAGCCGGTCACAAAAAGGACAAAAAAAAAAAAAAAAAAGTGGGAAAGGGAAGAAGAGGAAGGAAAGCATAGGAGAATGTGAAAGAAAAGGGAGAGTAGGAAAATCAGCCAGCAGTTCGGTTCAAATCTCATTCACTGTTTTCAGTCTTGGATGCTATGAAAGCCAGGGATGCTGGAATCGCCTTAGACACAACGATACCATTTCTCTATTGCTCAAATTTCTTTTTCTTTTTCTTTTTTTTTCCTTTTTGTCTTTTTTCGTGTCTGGCAACGGATCGCAACCCTCAGTGTCGTGCCCGTACCGGACCGGGACTGGCAACGGGATCACAACCCTTGGTGTTGCTCCCACACCTCGCTCAGCCAGTGAGCGGGAACCGGTCAAATTTATTTTTCTAATAAAAGATTTCTTGCAGAGAAGATATGTTGAGAAAGAAAAGGGAATTGAAAATGAGAAGTTTTTTTCAAACAATAAAATGAGTTTGAAGCTGTGTTCTCAGAGAAATGCTTGTAATGGAACTGCAGCTGTAAATTTCTGTTCCAGGAGAAAAAGAAAAAAGAGAAAGCGAGATAGACGTTCAGTTAACCCAGTGGTTCTCAAACAATAGCTGCAGCAGCATCATCTGAGGGCTTGTTAAAGCACAAATTGCTGACCCAATTTCCAGACTTTCTGAATCAGTAGGTCTGGGGTGAGGCCAGAGAATTAGCATTTCTTACAAGTTCCCAGATATGCTGATGATGTTGGTCCTGAGACCACACTTTGAGAACCACTCAATTAACTAAATGTCTGATAAATGCCAGGCTCTATGTCCGGTACTGAGGATAACACCAAGATGGGTCCTAATGGAAAGGTGGTCCTTGGCCTTAAGGATCTTTCCTTGAGTTGCTGTGAGTCATTATTAGAAATGCCATAAGAGAGATCCAAATACAGTGCTATGAGAATTCCCTGGGGGCGGGGGTGGACGGTGGGGAGATTACTTCCATTTAGAAGATATTCTCATCCCTTCTGTAAACAATTACTACAGCCTTCGCACATTATCTGCATCCAATCCTGTCTTCCCACCACTCTGTAAGCAACTTTTTATGAAAGTCTTAATAAATTTACCCATGCTGTTCCAGCTGTTCATCCCCCACTCACACCCCAACCCTTCTTAGCCA